AAAATGTGTCGCAAGTTATGAGGGAGTGTGCAAAGTCCACCTGTTGCCCGTGAATTGAATGTTCATTTCTCTACCATAAGCCGTCTCCAAAGGCGTTTCAGAGAATTTGGCAGTACATCCATGTGTTGCACTGCGTGAGGCAAATGGTGCTTACACCAGATACTGACTGGTTTTGTTCAGACTACACGACTTTCTGCGTCGGCAGGTCACAGCCTGAAGGTTGGCGAGTGGTGTTGGGCTTCACACAATGTAATACGCTAATTAAAAAGGAAACAGTGCTACTTGAGTAAAATGTTTCTGGGGGAAGATCCGACCACATCTTTGTTGCACCCATGCATCCGCATGTTTTGTTGGTCTTTTCTCCCAGTAAACTGATTATCTCTGGGTTTTGGACAGTTGGTGGGACAAAGCTGAATAGCTGCTGAATAAGTTGTTTGTCTTACTGTTGGGGAAGTGATAAGCATTCCTTCACCGTTGTTTGTGCAGTAAGAGAGCGGCTGGAGTTTTATATTTCCTGCACGTTACGCTGGACAGGAGCCTCGCTGCTGCAGCACCTTCAGTTTGTGCTGCTTTGTGCCCTTGAGTGCTGAATCATCAGAAGCACAGGTAGAAAAATGAATGGGGCAGTTTCCCCAGCAGATCTGTTGGAGCATCTTTTACTGGAGTGTTTTCCTCTCGGAGCGTCCTGCGTTTATTCAGCCTACATCGACTCGCTAATGTGAAATAACGTTATCTGACTTAATGGAGTCCTTTTAAAAGATGTTGTTTCCTAACAGACTCCTAAAGCAGAGGGGAGCGGGGGAGGAAGAGGCAGGCGAGGTCAAAGGGACAGGTGCAGGCAGGCCTGTAGCGTCACCTTTCAACACTGAAGGTAGGTGTAGGGTATTTAACAGAAAGGTCAGAGTAAGGAGGTGGTTGGGGTGGGCTGCAAAGGCTAAAAAACTACAGGGCTACGAGACAAGTGACTGACTCCAAGGCTGCGCTGCACTTTAAAACCTCAGGAAACAGGAAAGCTCAGAAACCCATGAGATATTTATCTGAATGTGGGACTGTTTTATGGCAAAGCTGTTCTGGCACCATTAGCATAACACTAAAAGATGCAGGCTGGTCCCCGGAGTCCTGTATCCGCCGAGATGGAGGAAGCCATTACAAACATCCATCTGTAACGGGAGCGTTCCACATCAGGCCGAGCAGAGACGAAAGGTCACCGACAGACAAACCACGTCCCGGGAAGCAGAGGTGGCTTTTTAATGTATTATTAATGCGTCCCGCCCCATAAATACCTGCCCTTTGTAGATTATTTGAGATGGAGGGCGAAGGATGGTGGAGTGTGGTTTTTCTCGTTAGCGTGGGCGGAGGGATAGTGTTTCCTCTGTGAGAGGGCGCTTGTTCACATTAAAGGTGCTTATGGTAATTGAATCCTAACACTGGTTCAGTGAAGAGCGGTGCAGAGAGAGAGCAGAGCTGAGCCGCCGCCGTATTTAACGACAGAATAAATGTATGTATATCCGCTGACTAAAAGTCAAAAGGAAGCTGCAGAAACCTGTAAAGTACAACAGCTTTTACTGAGCAACACATTAAATCATCAACAACACAGAGTCAGTCTGTCAGCTAAAAAAAGGAACTTCATGTGGGTTTAAATCCGGTTCCTGAATCGGACCAACGTCAGGAGGATTAAGGAATGTTTCAGTTCTCCAGCTGCTCCGGAAACTGTAAACAAAACCAGGTGGAGGAAAAACAGTGAACCCCTACAGATACTCACATACTGCAGTACTTTGACTTAACGCTGGAATCCAGTCTTCATTTTATGGCTGAATATTTAGAACAGTTCTGCTGCAGCGACGCGTTCTGTTCAGCCCAGATATTCAGACGTGAATAAAAAATGAAAGAATGAAAGAAAGAACTGGACCGGAACAGGCCGGTTTTAAGCTTTATCAGCCGATCAGCATCACAAAACCGCTAAAACATGTCGTCGGCGTGGAACTTCTTCACCGTGAGCAAAGAAGACTCAAATTTACACCTGCAGAGAAACACAGACAGAGACGCCATCGTGTATCCAGTTAGAAGACGCAGAGCAGGAAAACAACAGCGGACACACCTGTTGGTGCCGACATCATTCAGTACCACGTGGTCTCGATGGGTAATTAACAACAAGCCTCCTCCATGGTCACATGACCCCGGCAGGTGGGAGACAGTAAAACAGGTTTATGGTGTAATATTTACAGAATAAAAGCCTGCAGCTGCCCCAACTTTAACTACAGTGTTTCCCTCATTTATACTCAGGTGTATCAACAGCTGCCAAAGTATTTTTGGCCCATTGTAGCATTTTGCAGAGGAACTAGGGCTGGACGATACGGCCAAAAATGAACGATAAAAATCTTTCAATATATTATCACGATAAGTATCAAATCCTTATTTCTGTCTAAATGACTTTCAACGATCTTTTAAAGGCTGATTTTTGCTCCTGAGTGAAAGTTGAAGAAACCTGATGGCTAACTGTGGTTTAAACTCTTTATGGTCAGAACGTGACAAACAGCCGGCTCAGGAGGTAGAGCGGGTTGGCCGTTAATCGGAAGGTCGGCGGTTCAATCCCTGGCTCCCCCTGGTTGCGCGTCGAAGTGTCCTTGGGCAAGATACTGAACCCCGAATTGCCCCTGGCGGCTATTCCGCCAGTGTATGAGTGAGTGTGAATGCTAGTTTCCGTTTGAGCACTTAGGCTCAGTGTATGAATGTGTGTGACTGGTGAATGCAGATAGATGTAGTGTAAAAGCACTTTGAGTGGTCGAAAAGACTAGAAAGGCGCTATACAAATACGGAGCATTTACATTTGCAAATCTGAGCCAGAACATTCAGAACTATTATGAAAAAAATCTTTTTCAACAATATGCACGAGTAAAATTGAGTAAAAGCTTTTTCAGTTGTTTTTCCTCAAGAAAATAAACACCTTAATAAAAAAAAAAAGTCCTAATTTGTGTTTGATTCAAGTGAATAAAAAACATTAAGTGAATATTTATTTTGTTATTGAAAAGAATTTCACAATAATTATTGTGAAGTGAAAGGGAGCAGGTTCAAGTAAACGCTGAAATTAGGTGGAGAATGACAAGAATAAGCTACTTGAAATACAAATACATTATACACCGCTACCCCACCTCTGCCCCCGCACGGCCGCCGCCACACTTACACCGGTGTGTGAAACCCACGACACGAGACCGTGGACGTTTGTGTCTAGTTAGCAGTTAGCAGCAGCCGCCTGTGGAGGATGATGGTCCCTTTAAGGTTCAGGTTGGGACCAGGTTTAGGTTTAGTTCTGGATCAGGGGTCAGTCATTCAGTTTCTTCATTGTATTTTATTGTCGCTCTCTCTGCTGCTCAAGACTTTCATCATCTCCCTCTACGATCCAGTCAGGAGGCTAAATGTTCCAGTGTCGACTGTTGGACGTCTGGATTCTTCTTCTTCTCTGTATTCTGGAGTATTCTGTGTACGTCGCACTGTAACTCTGCGTATCTTCAATTTCTTTGGCTTCCTGCCTCTCACGCTCTGTCTGTACAGTGTGAGAGTACGTGTATCAGATGTCTTATAATAAATAAATAAATAAATAAACAAACAAAAACAAACAAACATGAAGGTGGGGGCCCGGGGACTGTGTTACGTCACTCAGGGTCCTCACAAGTGTAGAGGTACAGTCTGTGTGTGCGCTGCGAGGTGTTCAGGACACTCGGCTATTTTTAGCTGCGAGGAGAGAAATAATTCAGTGCGATCACAGAGCAGCTCGTTCACCTCCTCCCTGACGGAGGAGACCAACCAGCAGATAGATCCTCCTGCTCCTCCTCCTCCTCCTCCTCCTCCCCCCCGACCCTTCAGGAGGAAACTGAATCCAGGCCAGCAGGTGGATCAACAGAACCACATGCTGCCTGTTTAACCACAGCACAGGAGTGGAACGCCCCCCCGCCTGACAGGTGACTGACAGGTGACTGACAGGTGATCTGGCTGCTCACCTTCAGTCAGTTCGCTGCTGTTTATATTCAGAAACATCACTTCATGTTATCAGATAATATTCGTCGTCTAGAGAAAAGTTCAGACTCTTTCACTGCAAGAGATAAAACACACAGACTGGCTCCACAGCAGAGGTGTCATTTACCCTGGGGGCCCTGGAGACATCATTTGTTAAAAAACGTTGTCAGCTTGCAGTTAAATAACAAATGAATATGCCTTTAGAAAGGTTTATTTGCATATTAAAAAAACATGCAAAGTAATTCAAATATAGAAGAAACACATGTAACTGCAGCTAAAAAGAAAACAAGCAGCTGATTCTAAAATGACCCAAACACGTGCAGCACCAGTCAGTAACAACAGGTGTGAACCTGCCCAGGTGCAGCACTGATGCAGCACGTGGTGTGTCTGCAGCTAAAACTCAACACATCCAACCTTTCTGATTGTGTAATATGCCAACATTTCTTATTCTAAACAACAACAACAACAACAACAGCGGCGGCTTCTCTTGGGATCAGCACGCGCTTCACGACTCAGTTTGGACATATCTGATTGGCTCACATTAAAAATTTTTTTTAAAAAGCGTCCACTTCAGGTAACAAGCAGCTTCTCTGGCAGGAACCATGCTGTGGTCTTTAACAGGGACGTCTACCTGCTGACATCCAGCTCAGGTGTTTTAACAAAGCAAGCATGCACGCGCGGACAGGTACCAGGTAAATGAATAATGACGATAAAATAATAAATCTCTTGACACGTGACGGTTCTGTCAGCAGCCTCAGTGACAAAGTTGAACTGGTCCCATCACGACTCACAGCGGAGGTTCTGACCCTGTGTTGATCTGATCTATCAGTCTGAACACAAACTGGCCCGCAGAAACACGCTTATTAATGTTAATATAACGCGAGGGGAACCGGAGGCGGCTCGTCTAACGGGAAGCAGCGACACATGTTACCGGAGAGGGAAGTTAGAGAGAAGCAGACAAATCTGATCAGCTCCCCGCCCTCACTCACCTGCGCTCCGGCCAGCATGAGTTCACCGGTCCGCTGGAAAGTCCGCTTCTCCCGGATTCTGTTCACCTCGCTTTCCCGGACAAAAACAAAACCAAAAACGGCCTCGACCCGGTGACAGAACGACCGAACGGGGAACGGGACTCTCCTGTTTTACCGGTGAAATGTCGGTTGACTGTGATGGACCGCAGCAACGGGAGGGGAAAACGCCCAAACTTGCGCGGAGAGAAGAAGAAGTGTGTCCGGCGGAGAGGCGAGCGGACAAGATGGCGCGTCAAGTTCACGCAGAGAAGCGGGAAGGATCCGGATGTTCAGCTGCTGGACCGTCACAATAAAAGTCCAAAATAATATTCACCATTTAAAAATGATCTTTAACATTTTTGTTAGCTGGTAAATGTTACACAGCCTTTATTCATGTTGGGTTGGGCTGTGGCTCAGGAGGTACAACGAGTTACCGATCGACAGTCAATCCCCGGCTCCTCCAGGCTGCATGTTGAAGTGTCCTTGCGGGCAAAGATACTAAACCCTGAATCGCCCCTGGTGGCTGAATGCTTCGCTCAGCGATCTGATGCGAACACGGAAGTCCCTTAAATCTTCATTGTACCTAACGGCCAGCAGGGGGCGACTCTTCTGGTTGCAAAAAGAAGTCCGGCTCAATTAGAAATAAAGGTAAAATGTTTCTACTTGTCAGCTGATTTATTCCCTCAGTAAACACTTTCCTGATGAGTTTATGGTCTCAGTCGCTAGTTTCAAGTCTTCTTCAACACAGCATGATGTTCATTTAGTAAATTATGGTCCCATTTTGAGGAAGATAGACCAGGAAGCAGGGGAGGCTTTAGGGGCTACAAGGTGATTGACAAGTCGCTACCATGGCAACCTGTCAATCAGGAAAGAGGCGACTCCTATCCAGGAGTCAGCTGTTCACTTTCTCTGGTGAGTACATTTAGTTTTAAGCCTGTTGTTCATTAGACAAATTTATCAGCCTGTTAAAATGACAGTTAAAGTGAGTTACAGATGCACCTAGCTAAGCAAGCTAGCTCCACACATGGCCGTTAGCTCCACCGTCTCGTCCAAATATGGTCACTTCTGGTGCCACTGGTTACAAAAACTCAACATGGCGGCACCTTATCGGCCAAACTCAAGGCTTCGAACCAGCACAAACCAACAGGTGATGTCACGATGACTACGTCCATTTCTTATATACAGTCTATGGCTCAAACAGAACCGACAGACTGTATATAAAAAGTGGGCGCCGCCATGTCGAGTTTTTGCAACCAGGGAAGTGCCCGGTAGTGACGATACGGTGTAGCTAATGGTCGTGTGCGGAGCTAGCTAGCTTAGCTTAGCTTAGCTTAGCTAGGTGCATCTGTAACTCAGTTTAACTGTGATTTTAACAGGGCTGATTATTTTGTCTAGCGAACAACAGTCTTAAAACTAAATGTACTCACCAGAGAAAGTGAACAGCCGACTCCTGATAAGCTTTTTCAGCGGCGCTGGTTAAATCTACCAGCGCCGAGGGTACGAGTCACTCTATCCTGATTGACAGATCGCCATGGTAATGACTTGTCAATCATGGATAATCCCGCCCTGAAACATACTCTGCTTTGTGGTCTATTTTAAAATAAATGGGACCATAATTTACTAAATGAACATCATGCTGTGTTGAAGAAGACTTGAAACTAGCGACTGAGACCATAAACTCATCAGCAAAGTTTTTACTGAGGGAATAAATCAGCTGAGAAGTAGAAACATTTTCCCATTATTTCTAATGGAGCCGGACTTCTTTTTGCAACCAGAAGAGTCGCCCCCTGCTGGATTTTCAATAGAATGCAGGTTTCAGGGACTTCCGCATCGGCTTCATATTGTAGACCGGAAGCTTCCCGCTTGGTTTGAGCATTAGGGTCAGTGTATAAATGTGCGTGAATGCAATGTAGTGTAAAGGCGCTTTGAGCGGTTACAAAGACTAGAAAGACGCTATAAAAATAAATTATATAATCAAGTTATATCTTTAAAATATATATAGGCCTTTTTTCGCTCAAATTACCACTGGCACCACTGTTGCTTTTACTCTCCACATCTTCTCCGGCTCCTCTTTCTTGGTCTTTTGGGGCCTCCTGTGTTCCTTGTTCTTCTTGATGTTGCTCTGGGGATCACTTCATCTATCACTGCTGCCTTCTTCTTCTGTTTTCATCCATCAACACGATGTCTGGTTGCTAAGCAAAGCAAATTCCTCGTCCAAATAATAATACTACTTGGCGATATTAAAGTTCTTTCTGATTCTGGTCATTTGAATTTTGGTAGCATATTAAGCTTCTGTAAGTTATTTGAGGGTGAAAGAAAACACTGTTTTTAATTAATAAGGTGATATTTAAATATACCTAACAAGGCCATAACTGTACCACCAAACCATGTGAACACACACAGTTAGCCTTTCCTATTTTATGTACTTTAAATATACTTCCCTTATTTATTGTATTTTTCAGTCTAATGTAATGCAACATTTTAAGATTTATTGTTTTGTGTTGGTTTTTTGCTAAGATTGGAGAATTGTTACAGCATCACAAGATCAAACCAGACACAGCATTTCCAGTTAATTTTTATTGATAAATTTACTGTACATTTTCCACATTCATGTCTATTTTTATATTTATCTTTATATTCTACTTAGCATGTTTATATTATTATTTTTATTCCTTTATACTTTGATGTGCAATGTGAGCAACTGTGACACAAGACTTTACCCCCGGGGATCAATAAGTATTTCTGATCACATACAGTCTCATATACATGAGGAATATCCTGATTTTATCTGAGCTGCCTGTTTTATCTTAAGGTTTTTTATTTTTGTCATATAAAGTTGCAATTCATTCTAGTCTTATTCTTATAGTTAATCAGTTATTTGTGATTTCCACTTTTGTCTTCATGTATTTTTTCTGAGAGTAAAGACACAGTACCAGGGTCTTCAATCCAAAGCAACAGGCAAGACAAAACTCACAGGCAGTGGAAACTGGCAACATCCAAAATGCAGAACAGGTAATGCAGAAACTATCAGAACACACATCATACGACAACAACCAGACAGGCACTGAACACAAAAAAACAAACATACACACACCAAGGACTAAAGAGCAAGGCGGGAGCAACACAGGTGACAGGAATCAAGGCAGGCAGACAGCAGGGAAAACAGAGGGACTGGCAGAGAGACAGCTTACTGGGGGAACAGACAGAACACAAGTTACAAAATACCAGACAAGAATCTAACCCTAGACAATAACATAAACCCATGTAAACAGACAAACAGTGACCACCTGTAATACTGGGATCATAACAGACAAAACCTAAACGAGAACACAGGCATAACGGGGAAAAGCAGGACTGCACCTAGTATTAGACAGAACACCAGACAATTACAGATTAAGACAGGAACTAAGGCAAGCACAGATAATAACCCAGATAAATAATAACACAGACTAAATAACAGATACCGAACTGATCAATAAGTAAACACACAGTGAACTAAACTCAACAGAACTAAAGAGTAGATACAAAACCCAAACCTCAGAATCAAGAACCAAAACCCAGAAACAGAGACACCAAAATCAAAACACAGAGAAAAAACATTGACAACCTCAGGACAGGATTGTGATTTTATCTTCTCAGGTGGTGTTTCCTGTTCTTTTTCCGCCCTGTGTGTCTTTTGTGAAGCACCTTGTACTTTTGTTTGATAAGTGTGATATAAATAAAGTTCTACTTATTATTATTATTATTATTATTATTATTACACATATCAGATACATAATAAATATATGAATATAAGTAGCCTACAAAAGATTGTAAAGTAAATAAATAAACAAGTTGAGACATTCACATGTTGCAACAGCACGGAGAGGAAAAGAATCATAAAGAACTCTTTGAATGAAATAAATGAAATAAAAAAAAGAAATGCCTACAGGAATTATCACCAACCACATTTTATTTTCCAGTGACCGGAAATACGAAGTCTGCGTCGTGGGTGACTTCACTCTACGCACGGAGCAGCTGTGTGTGTGTGTGTGTGTGTGTGTGTGTGTGTGTGTGTGTGAGTGTGTGTGCGTGTGTGTGTGTGTGTGTGTGAGTGAGTGTGTGTGTGTGTGTGTGTGCGTGTGTGTGTGAGTGTGTGTGCGTGTGTGTGTGTGTGTGTGTGTGAGTGAGTGTGTGTGTGTCTCCTCCCCCTGCTTCTATTTCTTGCTGTTTACCGGCTCCGGTCCCCGGGGACCTCCGTGCCGCCGACACCGCCGCCTCTGCCAGGCAACGGCGGCGCAGAGAGCTTCAGAGAGCGGGGATGAGAGCAGGCGGGTGGGCAGGTGTCAGATCACCGCACCAGAACAAACACCGCAGCAGATTCAGAGACTCCCCGAGCTTTCTGTGAAATACTTCAACTAATAAAACGATACCATGTTTAATTCATTAACATGCTAATTATGCAGCAGTGGAAGAAGGATTCAAATATATAGGCTATACTTAGACAGAAGTTGTAAAACCACAGTTTAAATAACACAGAATTATAAATAAACGTCAGGCTTTCAAAACTTATAATCAGCATATTGTTTTTTTTACTGCAGGGCATTTGTCTGACAGATGGAGCAGATTAAACCACCTGAAACAGTAAAACAGTTCTAAGTACGACATTAAAGTACAACAGTACACCATCATCAGTGTGTTTATAATTCATGTATAATTTAATAATACAGATGACAGGAGCCACTCAGCGTCATGAGAGTCATGAGTACTTCTCACAGTTTTTGTACTCTAAAGGAAGTAAAATGTAAGGATCCAGTTAGGACCCTGTAAGGAACTGTGAGAACCCTGTGAGGACCCTATGAGGACCCTGTTAGGACCCTGTTAGGACCTGTGAGGACCCTATGAGGACCCAGTTAGGACCCTGTTAGGACCTGTGAGGACCCTATGAGGACCCAGTTAGGACCCCTTTAGGCCCCTGTGAGGACCCTGTTAGGACCCTGTAAGGACCTGTGAGAACCCTGTGAGGACCCTATGAGGACCCTGTTAGGACCTGTGAGGACCCTGTGAGGACCCTGTTAGGACCCTGTTAGGACCTGTGAGGACCCTGTGAGGACCCTATGAGGACCCAGTTAGGACCCCTTTAGGCCCCTGTGAGGACCCTGTTAGGACCCTGTAAGGACCTGTGAGAACCCTGTGAGGACCCTATGAGGACCCTGTTAGGACCCCTTTAGGCCCCTGTGAGGACCCTGTTAGGACCCTGTTGGGAACCC